TTCCAATTTTATTTTGGAAGATTACATTACGACCATAAGGATCTAGCGTATTCATATTTAGAATTGGCATTCCAGCTGGATTAACAATGGATGATGCAATATTTCCACTGACAGTAGAGCCATAAAGTGTCATATTTGATGGTTCCGTAAAAGTGCCGTATGGTGTTGTGCCAGTTCGTCCATTTTGCGTAAGATCATCATAAGTAACAGGATTTTGAGGTCCTTCTAACATAGAAGGTGACAATGGTCCACTTCGTAACGATTGCAAATTCCATCCATATTGGCATTCATTAGGTTGTATACCCGCAGATGGGCTTGTGATCGCTGCAACAGGTGGCAGACTAGGTTTCGGACTATGTGTTCCATTCTCTTGAGATGGTGTGACGTGAGAGAAACTTTGTTCGAATGGATTAGGCTCCAAATCTAATTTAGAGCATCCTGCTAAAAAACGAGATGGTGTTTGATCGGAATTGTGGTTTTGGCCAAGATCTTTTCCTGGTGGAAATTTATTTAATGTTGTTGAGTTTTTTCGTGGTGGTATGGGTGCTGTGGGTACTACATTATTATTACGAGTCTCAGAATTACTACTTTGTGGCGTAGATATTTCGGATTCTGAGATGAGATTTATTATTTATTTGGATAGTAAATAGTGTTAGAAATTAGACATACAGACATGCGATAAACTAAATCGATAAGAATTGAAAATACCTTCACTGCCGGGGGAGGATTTGTTAGAAGGTGATGGTATATTATTGTTGGACACCATTTTTTTGTTCGAAGTGAAATTTATCTACTTTTCGGATAATGGATGTAATGCTAAAATATATTTTAAATACAATATTTGATATTTTATTCTATTGATAAAACCTGATATTTTCCAAAGTGTTTTTTTCTCTTCTCATAAAAAAATTTAAAGACGTCAAGTTATCAAAATGTTTGAATTTAAAGAAATAATTTTTGAACCCTATAATTTGTCGAATTATAATTGAGAATGAAAACTTTAAATGTTTGAGGGGCAACAAATTTGAATTTGTTTGGTCACAAACACAAAAAATAGTGATTTCCAAGTTACTTGACGGAATCTTTGACTAGAATGGTCCGAGAATTAAGCTGCGAGTCACACCCACATACCAGATGCTTCTAGTAAATACCTTTGTACGTATCGAAGCACGAACGCAAGCCAAAAATCAACAACTATCCAACGAGATAATTATGATATCTCTTTGCGATACAAGACAAAATGTTGTGGGTTGATTGTTGGAGGTTGGTTGGTTTTTGTAATGTGGAATATATGAGGAGTGTTCTTAATAAAAAAAATGAAGAGAAAAAAAAGTTGATATATGAACCATGTATGATAAAGTACTAATATGTTGTTTTAGTTTTTTGTGGTTGTGTGCGAAAGAGTCAATTGACTGCAACAGTAACAAGTGCTACAGAGTGAGAAAATGGTCGGTCAGTGTGGCACCTAGATTCCCAATATATTATATAACCTAATATAATTTTACTACTTTAAAATTCCATGACCAATCCATTACGTCATTTACCTGCTGGTTGATTTGTTTGATTTGTGGAACGAATTATCGATTCCGCCAAAACTCGGATTCGTACATACATAATAACAACAATATGTATAATTGATCTATACATTTTTCACTATACTTTCCACATTGTGCAAATCTTTTTTCCTTATTTATTGAATATTGCCTCTTTTTTATATTCACGTTCACCTTTTTTTCTATATCGATATATGTAATCAGCGAAAATGTAAGAAAATACTTTGACTGGTGCTACAAAAACAATCTGGTGAATGGGTAAAACATCTGTCAGAATTGATTACAATGCTGATGCCCTGGCTTTCGAATTTCAATAATCAAACCTTATTTTAGAGGGGTATCGGTATGGTATCTCTCTTATCAGCGTGTTATATCGATATTGCACATGATTAACTAACCATGAAAAATAAAATAAGAATTAATAACATAGCAGATTTTATTAAACTGTGTATTTGTATCTGCTAAAGAGTGAAATCCAACAATTGAAAAATATGTCGAATATTTAATAATTTTTACCTATAGATAATAGACATATCGATATAACGATAAGAGGTATTAGGTTGGAAATTTTTGTAACTGATTGGACGAATCATCAATTTCCCAATTCCAGATTGAATATATGATCCAATCAAATTCCATCATATTTTTTCTGGACAAATTTCAACTATATTAGGTAACCCTTGAGAAGGCAAAGTTGTCATCCATCCATCCTATCCATGACTTCTGTAGCCTCTCTGAATCCTTTTGAACTCCTCGAGGATGACGCCGAGGAAGTCGATATTATCGTTGAAGGAAACCGACAAGAGCCAACATCGACATCGGCGACCGAGTCTCCTGTTATAAAACATAAAGTTGATAGGTCTCGTGCAAGCCGTATAGAAGCTAGAATTCGTCACGAGTACCCGCAGCGCGGAGGCTTTAATAAGAGCGCTCCGCCACCAAGGAATAGTAACAATGTCAATAACAATAACAGCAGCGACGCGAGAATTGAGGAACCTAGATCTGGTGAGTGTCTGTTCATGCGTGCCTCTGAAGTAGCTCAATACCAAGAAAAAAACCAGTAGTTTTGATAAATTTGATCATTCCCATTTCTTTTATGATACTTTGAGGACCTGGTTGAGCTAGCAAGCATTTTCACATACAGCCTTTTTATTAAAATTGAATTAGTGAGTGAAAATTTAATGCTGGAATTCGCTGAATTATATTTTAGAAAAGGAATCAAAACTTAACTATTTAAAAGAAAAAGTTACTGCAAAAAACAAGAGCTTCTATAGAATTAAAAATTAATCCTTCTAATTTCAATTAAATTAAATAGCACTTCGTGACCGCAATGTCGGCCCTCGTTTAGCAGGTCGTCGTGATCGTGAAGAAGGTGGAAGTGAGTTTCCATCAAGGACTCCTCGTGGTGCTCGAGCTGGAGAGCGTTCTCGTGGCGCTGGTGGTGGACGTGGGAATCGTCGTGGTGGTCGTGAATATGATCGTCATAGTGGTTCGGGAAGAATGTTAGTATTTCATTATACTTATCAAATCCAAAAAAATTTTTAATGGTTCTAAATTTCAAAGATTTGTTATTCAGTGACAGTGAAAAGAAGGAACAAGCCTGGGGTAATGCAACAAACTCCTATACTGATGGCGGTGCCGAAAATGAAACCTGGAATGCTAACGAAAAAAGCGGTGATGCACCCGGCGGAAGCTGGGGTGGCAACGCCAAAGAAGATACAAATGCTACTGGTGGTGACGATAAAAACGCCGGTGGCGGCTCTGAATGGAATACTGAAACTCCTGCAGAAGGAGGAGCCACCAATTGGGATACAAATGATGGGGTAGCCGATACGACAAACTGGAAGGAAACAAAATTCGATACCGAAACAAATCAAGACAATTCAGGCGCTGCTGCTGCAGGTGATCTCTCGGAAACTGCACCACCTGTAGCTGAAGAAGTTGTCAAGACGTTAGATGAATATCTAGCCGAGAAAAAACAAAAAGCGACTAGTATTGCGCTTCCTGAAATTAGAAAGCCAAATGAAGGTGTTGATGACCCTAAATGGAAGGATGCTGTTCCCCTTCAAAAAGAAGAGGAGGAGGATTTTCTTTTCGTTGGAAAGGTAATTTCGCATCAGATTCTATTGTATAATTAACTGTGTATATATTTTAATAACTTTTGTCTATATTATAAATATCATCGTCGATTTAATCATATAGGAACAATCAGTCAGGCTTAAGTCCAAGAAATCGACAAAAGCCAAAAACTTCCTCGAAATTGAC